TTATATTCATTTCAATATTAAATGTTTTACTTCCAGTTTTTGATTTAGCATTTTTAACAATAATTGAACGTTGAATTGATAAAATTAGATTATCACATAATATCCCTAATGGATTATTAATATATTCATAATCATTATTATTAATTAAATAAAACATTCCTTTAAGATCCCAATTCATTATTGATCTGCTTAATATTGATGAAATATAATTCATGAATGCTTGTACATAATAATTAATAGAATACTGAATAGAGTTATAAATATTTTTAAAGTTGGTACTAAGAATTTGAACCAATTTTTGCATTCTTTTATTTATTCCATTATCGTCATCATTATTAATCAATGTATTTAGATAATTTTTAACTTGATTTGAAATAGAGTCATGTTTAAAATCTTGTATTGAATCAGGAATAGGAACATAAATTAATTGATTATTAATATACCAAGTATTAGGTATGTTATTTATATTTTGCATAAGATGTTCTAAATATTGTCTAGTTTTAGTATATTTCATTGTGTTTAAATAACTAAGAGTATCAGTCTTATCATTTTGTGTTAATTGTGATGAAGTACCATTTGTTTGATTTTGACTAGGTGATTGTGGAATTGTTGTAATTGATGAAGTATCTTTAGTTGTTTCTTCTTCCATAGTGTTTGATTGATTTTGATGTTGAATAGTTTCAACTGACATGGTATTTATTAAATAAATATTTTTAGTTTAGATGATTATTAAGTTCATCTTAAAACATCATATTAATGAGTAATCAAAGATATTTAACAATCACAAGAGAAAATACATCTCCAAATATAACAACAGGGAAATGGAAAGTGAATTTACCATGGGAATTTATTACTTCTGAAAATTATCCTAAAACAATAGAAGTATTGAATTTTGTTTATTTTAATTTGAATGGTCAATTAGATATTGGTGTTAGTTGTCATGGTTCATTTAATTATGATTCACCTGAAAATGATCAAATGATATGTTTTTCACATATGGAAATATGACAC